GTAATGCTGCATGTGTTTCTTGCGTGCTTCAGATGGTCCTACCTGTGTTTACTTGCGCATGTTGGTTTGAATGTGCAACTGTGAAATGGAACTAGATTACATTTAAGACAGCCTTTGCCATGGGCAAGCTCAGAAACCAGGGCACAGCGCCCACTCTCTGCCACTAGCTGTGATCGGCAGTGTATCTTATGTCCCATTCAGACAAGTAACCATTCAGCCAGGCAAAGAAAGACTGATAGAAGGAGGAAGAGAGCACTGCCAGCTGCCAGGGACTGCACCAGTAGATCTTTTGGGACTTGTTGCAACAGGTTTTTCTTTTTGTATATCTTACTGCTGGGCTAGCCTGGACGAATGCCAGACACACACACACACACACACACACACACACACATAATGAGGATGTTAGTCTGAGCTGCCAAAATCTGAAACCAGCCCATCAGCCACTTCCATACATATTTAGACAGTCAATCTAATCGATGTGCCTCACTGTCAGGGTGGAGAGGGCTCGAAGGTGCACGGATCCATGAGGAAAATTGGCTCAAGATGTGGACAGAGGTTACAGATGTGAGTGTGTAAATCTGACTGAAACTACAAATCCACAAAGAAGAGAGAGGACAGTTATTGAGTCAAGGGTTAGGTGAGTTTGTTGGAACATATATGAATGTTGGTGTTTATATAAATTGCTCTAACAGTTGTGCTGTTTTTGCTCTAATATAGGGTACTTTACTACTTGATTTACCTATCTTTGCCTCATTTTTTAATAATAACAAAGAGAGACATTGCAGCACTATACTGCTCAGCACTGAAACACTTGGCAGTGCTGTAGGTGTTGAGTGTTGCTTTGCCTTTGAACTATGAATGCAGCCTTCTCATTTCACTCTCAATGTGTAATTCTTACAGTATGTAGTTGCTAATTGTCTCTGATAAGTGAAGAACAGCTGTAACTTTTCATCTTAAGCCTAAAACATTTATACAAGTATAGCTTGTGGCAAGAAACATGAAGATAATGTGCTGAGAGCCGCTGATCTTGACAGATGTCACTGATGAGATGTTTTCTGCACCATTCTATACTTTGTCAAAATTATTGGAAAATTAGTTTATAAGTGAATTAACCTTTTATAAAATGCAATAAAAAATCAGTTAAAAAATGCATTTATTGACATTATCATCACCTGCTATTTTAGATGTTCAAAAGTGACCCCCCCTTTTTTATGCATTTCAAAATTAGGATGTATACAGTGTTTGATAAAATATATTTATTTTAAGATTCACAATACACGTGTTCATGCTCTTTAATTTGTAGAATGAAATTATGTACATCCTGAAAATCTGAAAGGGCTTTTCATTGGACCAAAAAGTTTGCAGAGCTGGCTGTAGCCTTGTTGTACTATCATGCAACTTTTAAACAACTTCATATTTTCAAGAATTTTAGCATAACAGCCCAATTCAGTCACAAAACATTACCAAAATAGGGTATAGGATAGCGGAGAGACATCATGTTCTGTCCCATTTTCACCTGATTTATCAATGAATGCACCTTTAAGCAAATAATTATTTGAACCCAAACCATGATCTTTCCTGTATTTTGTACACTAGCAGCAGGTGACTTATTTATACACAGATATTCAAATCCCACATTTCCCCAGATGGGTGGGATTTAAAATGATGCAATGTTCTTATATAAATCAATAGCTAGCTATAACTGTCAAGTAAATGTAAAAGTGCAATATTTCCCTTTGAAATGTAGTGGAGTGCAAGTAACAGTAAACCGTAAGTAATTGTACTTAATCACAGTTTACCACTGCAAATGGCTACAGTATCACCGGCCTCAAAACTTTAAGCTCTGTTAGGTAATATTTGTAATGTTAAAACTGAAACAAATGACTCTGTAGAATGTGAAAGCTAGTGAGAAACTATGTGCCAAACTTGGAATTTAGTAACAGATCCAGCAATTTCCAGTATAAAAACAGAAAAATAAAAAGCATTATCCTAATGATAGTGGTCTAGCATGTATTATGTATTGTTCAACAATATCGGTTTTATAGTGGTGCAATTACTTCTAATTTTAATATCAGCACTGCTTTTAAATGGCAATGTTAGAAGTGTGCTGATTGTGAAAACGATTTTTATCCCCCCCTTGACTACAGTGAATATCTAACAACTACACTGTCATATCTACAACCTATTAGTATACATTTGTTGTCTTCCATTTGCCAGCATAAGTGTTGATCCATATATATTTATACATTTGCAAATAAGGAGCTCATCACACTAGTGACTGAAGGACTAGAAGTATTGGTGTGTGTGACAGTGTAATGGATGAGTTCACATTTTTCAAGTCTGCCTCAAAGCAATAGTCAGGTGCTCATATGAACACGGAAACAGGATTTGCTTCACGGAAACAGGTTTTGCTTCCTGTAGTTATTCCTCCTGTTCACACTGGTAATTAAAAGGTCCCTTTCTAATGTGCTTTCAGTGTATATGAAGGGGTAGGTAAAGGCTATATGGGTCCAATCAACATGAATATAGTAAAGGGGACAGAATGTGATTTAATCTTTAATCAAAAAATCTGATAATCAATATTTTTTGCTAACAGTCAAGTTCTATGAAAATTACAATATATTTAAATAGACCAAAGTCATTCCTATGTCAATAAAATATTACATTTGATTAATCAAAATGTCCCAAAGCTGATGAGATTTACTCTTAAACCTGCTTTCTGAGATGAGTGTTTATTTTCCTTTTTTTTAACTGAATAGTCTTTATACTTCTTTATTGTCTCTCAGTAGTAAATGTGACAAATTAAACTGCCTTTAATGCTCTTTATGGCGAGGCTACCTACACATGCACACACGCTGCTGCTGAAATGTATACTTCCCTTACCTTAAGTGCATCTGTTCTGGCTGGTGGCAGCATGTCTGTCAAGCAGATGAGAGGATTTGTTGCCACAGTGATGAAAAGCCAGTCTCTCATCTTTCACCACGACACTTTAGCCTGCTTTGATCGCAACAGAAAGAACTACGATTCCTACTTCTTTCTCTTTCTCACTTGTACTCACACATTAACAGGAGAGGTCGATTCCACTTACGGTGCCTCAGCATTATTTGGCTTTATGTGACCTAACAGCCATGGTTTGTTGGCAGTTTTAATGAGCTTGGTTTATGTCGGGTTTGAGGTACCTTTACTGGCACCTGGGCCACGTGTCTCTCACCTCCGCTGGGATCAGGTAACACTTCTTTACACTCAGCCAGATAAACCCCCACCCCCCTGTATGTTCACTACTGTCAAACTGTGGTGCTTTAATATACTAGCACTGAAAATGAACTCAACTGTTCCCACGCCAGCACTCATACTGTCAGATGACGCGATATAGTGTGTCACAGATTTACAACAGAATAATGACTCAGTAGATATAATCTCAAAGGATCAGTGACAAGAAGTACTTTGTCTTAACACTTCGGCTATGCTTCCTGTCATGTGGCAACAACCATATAAATCAAAACTTCATTGCCAGTTCTATTTTCCTCTCTTATCTGATTCCACAAGTTAAAGGAGTAGTTTGACATTTTGGGATACCTGCCTATGTGCTTGGAAGTCACTGCATCCAGTTTCGAAATAGTGCTACTAATAATCCTGGTAAAACCTAAAACTGTTGTTACTCTTCAGTTTTTGTATGAATTAAACAAACAAGTTTTAAACATTTCTTGATATGAGCTTTCTTTTGCTTGAAACAAGCTAATTTGACTGCCAATGCAGTGTGTGTTTGTAGTGACCAAAAAAATCACACAATAAGGCATGCATTTGCAAATGTAAGTTATAAATGCTGAGTGAGCACCTGACCCATTGTGACCTGCGTGGTCTGACATAATTAGCCTAACTGCCTGTTTTATTTTATTTAATTACTCTAATTTTAGTCTAATTGCTAAAAGGCTAGTTGTGCAAACAGTATTAGACTTAATAATATTAGTTTCATATGTAAATTAGGTGCCAGGTCTGTCAGTATCGGTGCCGTTCACAGTTTGAGAGGTGCCAGATCTGGATCTGGCTTGTTCCACCACAAGTTAACCCCTGCTGCTCTCAGAAGTGAAAACAAAGTCAAATTTCTGTCGTTATTTCTACACAGCAAAACTTCTCACAGGGCTCTGCGTAGAGCTGCTGGTGCTGTGGCTCTAGTCATCATAATGACGATCAACAGGTCCACCACTGGTCAAGATGGAAGTGTCTCGACAACCTTTGGATTTTCATGAAATTTTGTACAAATATTCATGTTCCCCTGAGGATTTATCTGTATCACCACCATGAGGAGGACCTTTTTTTTGGCTTTTGAGTGAAATGTTTCACTAAGTGACAGATTGCATACTATGAAATTAGGTACAGACATTCGTGATCCCCAGAGGATGAATCCCACTGACCTTGGTGATCTTCTGACTTTCCATCTGGTGCCATCATCAGGCTAAAATTTTAATATGTCAAAGAACAGATGTCATGATAATTCTGAGGCCACAGATTTATGTTGCATTGGACATAAAGCATCTGAAGCACTAATGGAATAAACTGTTGAATATCAAGTTTACTAATTTGAACAATATTTGATATATTGTCACAAGATAAAGTTGAGAATATACCATCATGCAAGTCAAAAGACTGAAACTTTAAATCAAGTGTTTTGTCTTAAAGCTTTTTAGCTTAAAATAAGTGTCAAATCATAATAGGTCTCTTCTTTACATCTAACTCTCAGCATGAAAGCAAACGTGAATTTCCCAAAATATCATCAGGCTTTTGTGACCTTTAATTTTAATTGATGCAGCTAACAACAATGCTAAAAGTGTATCATTAGGTCAGTCAGTGAGATTATGAATTATCCGCCTGAAATTGCTATGCATCTAAATTAAGCCAAAAAACGGTTCTATGAAAATATAACAATTGACGAGTTTTTTCCTCCTATGTTAAATTAAACCTGTCTTTTCAAATCTTGTCACAGGAGCAGATTTTGGTGCAGAATGTCAGACTCCCCAATATTTCCCTCCAGCAGGAGTAAGTCTCAGACGTCAGCCTCTCAGGGCAACATACACACCTGTGAGCCCTGTGGGACCTCCTGCCAGCAGATGGCAGAATCACAGGTACTGAAAATCAGTTCTGACTCTGCTTTGAGTGAGTTGAGTTGTGGCATTATTTCTTGTCTCACAGTAGTGAATTTTCCATGAGCCCCATAAATGTGAACATTCTTGCTTGAGATATTACTTGGATCCAAATCGGTGTGTGGTAGCTCTTATGTGGATGTGATGGTGCAATTTTCTCCCATGCATTCACAGCATTATGTATGCAGTTAGAAGAAAAATATTCAAATTGGCCCCATCTCACAATGGTGAAGAATCCTTGATTTTACTTTCTGGTGCCAGTTGTTTCTCCCCATCAGGTCACAGCTGAATAAATATATATTTAAAAGTTTAATGTAAATTTCTAGCACTTTATATTCCATTAAGAAAATTCAAGTCTGTTATCTATGATAACAAATGGACTGAATAAAATGTAATTGTGTTTACCTATTGACTCTTTTCTCTGCTCCAGTTCAGGTTCTTTCACTGTCGCTGGTATGTGTATGTGTTTTAATAGAAATGTGCATCCTCGCACATTAATATTGGTTAGCTTTAGATCCCAAGACTTGGGAGTAGATTATAGGGGAAGTAAAGTCTGTTCCCCTATGGATATGTTTTTTTCTCTTACTTTAATCTGAACCTCTCATTCATCTTAACCCTAACCAGCTGTGTTTTATGATGCTTAATCTAATCAGTTATATCTGCCTACTCCCTAGTTATGGGATCTAATGTTTGTAACTCTACCAAATCAAAATTGAGGCTCTTACCTTTACCATGGTGAATCTTTATTTACCTGTTGCCATGTTGAATTATAGTGATGGCTGCTTTTTTTCATTCATCACTCAATTCCAGAGGCAGCAAACACAGAGTTCACTGAACTGACACTGATCAGCTGAAACCTCTGAATTTTTCATCTCAGGGTTTGTCAGCTCAGAGTTCAGTGTTAAGTTCAGAGTTTATTAAATCTGCTTTCTGGAATGTGCCCCCAGGAAAGAAATTGTCATTACTCATACAAAAGTCTGCAGTGCGACACAGAAAAGACCATAAAGACAAATGTAACACAATACATACTGTAGGCAAAAAAGATAATAATAATAAATGTAGGCTAAATGTAGGCTAAAACCAAAATCTGTAAACTACAGGATTTCGTTTTTTAAAGCAAACTACACCCGGGGAGCACACAGTAGGCTATTTAACATGCTTACAGTGTATTTGCATTCATGCAGAGAGTTAGAAGAGAAGATCAATTCCACCGTCATACTTGTACAGTAAGGTTGAAACTGCAACCTGCATGTGGTTAGCTTAGCTTATTACAAGGACTAGAAACATATAGCGTGGTTCTATCCAAAGGTAACAAAATCTACCAATACCTTGATATTTTGATAGCTTGATAGTTCTGATTCTGTTCCCAGTTCACAGCTATGACATGAGAAAGCATGTTTCCCAAAATGTTGAACTACTCCTTTAATCTACTGTAAGTACTGCATTTCAACACGGTAATTGGCATTTTGTTCTCCTGCCAAACAAATAAAGCGTTTAGCAAATGTTTCTGTCATTTCACTATGTATGTATGTGAGCATGAGGCAGGTAAACAGGCTGAGATAAATCCCTGTGGTTTATTATCTATGACAGATGAGGTTTTGTGGTAATGACCTCAGGGCTTTCCCAGTATATAGTTTGCCATCTTCTTCACTTCTTGGATGTTTCAGTATTGTCTTTAATGAATAGTATTTTCTGTGTTAATGATCACAGAGTAAAGAGGGCAGGGATGTTTGCTTCACCCAGTACCTTCAGCTGGACAGACAGGAGACCAGCACCTTCAGCTTGAGGACTGCAGCTGTGAACAGGAGGCACAGCGTTGATGGGACCATTAGTTCAGGGCCAGGATCAGCACTGGGACGAGGCCATCTTGACCCTGACCGTTTCCACCCATACCGCCGACAATTCAGTGATGGAGCAGTGATGGCCGCAGGTCTTCAACAGTGCTCTTCTGCCTTCAGCTGTCTGCAGGAGGTGTGCAGTCCTGATACTCATTCATACAGCTCCAGCAGTGAGGCCTCACCATCCTGGGACCAATACAACAGCAGTGTTCAGGTTTCTAGAGTTATGGTTTTACCTTTGCCTGTTATTTGAGTTAAGGCTTTGTACACTCCAAAACAACAAGCTGAAAGAAGACTAAGCAAGTCTACATTGGAAAAAAAGAGTGAATAAACAGAATGGACATCCAGACATGTGTAAAGGATATGCTACATTGGTTCTCATATGTTAGGACTACTAAACAAACACACACTCTGAAGCAATTTGCTGGTGTTCAGTAATTAATTTAGGAGAATTGGTTTGAATGCAAATATTAAAGGTATAAAATAATGTCACAAATTCAATTTTAGGCTGAAGTTTTTCATTATAGATTATATTAATTAATTACATAGTAATAAACTTCATTTATAAAGCACTTTTTGAAAACAGTTATAAAATGTTTCACAATATAAAAAAGAAAAAATCAATATAAGTTACATAAAAACATCAAACCTTACAGACCTAAAAATAAACATATGCACACGAGGTGCAAACATGCGCTCAGTACCACACAACTAATCACACAAACACCATGTAGGGCCATATGAATGATGTGTACATCTAAATATCTACACATCGAAAAGCCAATGGAGATATGCACATGAATACACATATGTAAACACAAAAGGCTTCCTGTATAAGTATGTTTTTAGTCCTGTTTTAAATGAAACCACAGTGTTTGCTGACTCGAGAATCTCTGGGAGAGAGTTCCATGACTGTTTAGCTTGAACAGCAAATGTACGGTTTTGTAACTGAGTAAGATCCTGGGATGTTTAGCAAACCCAGATAAGCATAGAAAGCGTTTTAGCTTGTATGACACCAGTAACTCCTTGATGTGATCTGGTACAGGGTCATGTAGGGCTTTAAAAACAATCAGTAAAACTTACAAATCAATTCTGAACTTAACCAGCAGCCAATGTAATGAGGCATGGATGGTAATATGATCTTTTTTGGTGGAGTTTGTCAACAGTCTTGCCCCTGCATTCTGAACAAGCTGAAGTCAAGCAATAGTTTTACGGTCAAGCCCAGAGTAAAGGGAATCACAGTAGTCTAAATGATGAAGTAAGAGCATGAATAACTTTTTGAGGTTAGCAAATTGGAGAAGGGCTTTAACTTTACTGATACTCCTGAGATATAGAAAACAGGATTGAACAGTTTTCATTATCTGCTGTTGAAAACAGAGCCTGGAGTCAAAATAATGCCTAAGTTACAAGCAGAGTGACTGATGTTATTGCTTGAGCATCCAAGGTTCCCTTGTAACTGTGTGATTAGGGGACCAAATAAGAAATATTGACCCCTGTGGGACACCATAAGGAAAGGAAGCTATCTTGTATGACACCAGTAACTCCTTGATGTGATCTGGTACAGGGTCATGTAGGGCTTTAAAAACAATCAGTAAAAGTTACAAATCAATTCTGAACTTAACCAGCAGCCAATGTAATGAGGCATGGATGGTAATATGATCTTTTTTGGTAGAGTTTGTCAACAGTCTTGCCCCTGCATTCTGAACAAGCTGAAGTCAAGCAATAGTTTTACGGACAAGCTGAGCTGCACTTTCCACAAGCAAAACAAAATCTAAATGGCTTCACTAAACTATTTCTTGTTATTTCTTCATATTTGCAGAGTTCATACCCAGAACTACAAGCTGTACCAGGGGAGCCCTCCTGCTTCCTGTCTCAAAGCTATGCATCCTACAGGTCATCGAGCCCTCTACAACAAGTGAGTGAGTGTGTTGGTTGAATCACAGAGCAATGCTGAAGATGGGGTGCATGTAATGATTAAAAACATGTGTGATAGTTACCTTAATGACAGGAGGGTATCACAATGATCTACAAGCCAAGATAATGCCATCTAGTTTGTTTCAAAAGCAGCAGACCTGGTCATGGTTTAATATCGGTAGAAAAGGCTGGTTATGATCATTACAAAGTAGAAATGGCATGAATAGTGACTTTAATGATGTCTTTTATTAGCTTTGATGTGTGTGTGTGTGTGTGTGTGTGTGTGTGTGTGTGTGTGCGCGCGTGCACTCTACAGGTCTCCTCTAGACTGTATGCTAATAATGACCAGTCCAACACCTCCAAATATTCTCTCCAAAGTCTCTCCACTCAGTCACATAAGGAAAGCATCACACAGTCCCTCTTCCCCAAGCCCATTTATTCATACAGGTAACGCTGCATCACTTTTCACTATATACTGTATACTGTATAGTTTTGTGTACTAAAAGCTAAACCAACATTTAAATGTAAGCTTCTGATTAATCTGGCAGTATTAGGTTTTGCTAGAAAAATGATAAAAACAAGGCAGTACCAGTGGATATTGCTAGGGGACCTTACATTTAAATGCTTTTTGCCAACCCTAACATAAAAATGTGTCTTTCATCACTGCAGCATCCTAATCTTCATGGCTCTAAAGAACAGTAAAACAGGGAGTCTGCCTGTCAGTGAGATCTACAGCTTCATGACAGAACATTTCCCATATTTCAAGGTACCACACCATTCTTCATAACACACTGAATTTAACTAAATATAATAATATTGACAGTTTGGTTAACATTATATTGTTAAAATCTGTACAACACTACATGTATTCCAATGGATGATGCTTGTAATTACATGGCATGTCAATACAAATGCCATTTGCAAACTACTGTGGTTGAATCTCTTACAAACCTCTGGCCATAGCATAGTCACTGTGCTTTTGGGGATGTTAAGGCCCTGATTTCTTTTGTCCCAGTTTGTCTCTGGTGTGCACACCAGATCTTTTTGGTCACAGGTGCACGGCAGTAAGCTTGGTGCTGTGTTTGGGAGCTCACCATTATGTATTTATATAAAGCAGACCTCCCACAACATCCTGACTTCTGGCTACTCATCCTTGTTTTGTCTTTAAATCTATGTGGAACAATGCATGTGTGTGGACACGTTTGTAACAACAGTTTCTCTAGTCCAGTTGTTACAAGGTTCACATTCTGGATTGCCTGATCATCATCAAACCACATGTGCATTATAGCTGACAGACGTTACTCTGATAATATAATATATTTCATAATGGCAGTGCAGACAGCAGTTTGCTACACCTGCAGTTAGGTGGCTATGGACCATCTGGACAGTAACCTGTTAAGGCATGAAAAGGAAAATGAGATGTTTTGTACCAGTTTAATATTGACAGGTCTGATCATGAAAACAGAAGAGATATAATTATTTAATTTTGCTAAGAAGGAAGATTAAAATATATGTTATAAATTCATGCCCCTGTGCTTTAGTATTGGTTAAATGAGGCAGCTGCAAGGTTGGACCTGTGTTTGAACCTCAGGTCTTTGCAAATAGTATAGATTTTCCAAAGGATTCCAGATATCTACAAATCAAATAAGTTGAGACTCACCTCTGGAAAGAGCTCAAAGACTTGCTGCCATTCAATTTCAAGAAGGTACCTTATACATGGCTGCTTTCCAGACAGCTGCCTTAACATTAAACAGTCGCTGCAGGGCCTTAAAATACATGAGGCGGGAAGTGATACTAAAAAAGTCAGGTGCATTTTGTAAAAGCTAAGATTTTTTAGACATATTTAAATACTTTCAGAGTACTGTCAAGCATATATTGTCTCCTGATAACTGGGCCAAATGATGCACATTTTAGGTATATTTTAGATATCACTGCTTGGATGTCACAAATATTTTTACAGCTTGACTAGGATCAAACTTCAAACCTACTGTATGTCCTTGGTTTGGCTTTTTGATTAGAAATATTTTGCTGTCATTATTTATTTAGTATAATTATTATTATACTTAAAAAATATTATTCTTTATTATTCCTTATATATTTTACTTGTCATTGTGTCCTGCATATTTGATCTAGTTTTTATTTACTTTAAATCCATTTTATTGATTGATTTAAAAGAAAATATTCACTTTTGCCTTTTTTCTGCCTTGTTGTTTTTATGTGTAAAGCAGTTTGCACTGCATTAACTTACGTAATAATGTGCTATATGACATTTAATTTGATTTGATTTGAAGTATGTCTCACTAGAGTTCAGTTCAGTTCAGTGGGCACTTGCTATGGCATGCAGAAATCCTTCACTGCCAGCAGAGCAGTTAATATCCGGTGTGTTGTAATATTCCCTCCAGGGAGGACACCTTGTCCTGGTTTCTTCAGATGGATTACAGTTAATTAGCGATTGCACTCTTATGATGATTAAACTACAGTGTTGTCCAGTTTGACACACAGACAGTGAAACACAGGGGAAGAGCTGGCATGAGGCCAGATGTCATCACTAAACATGAAACATTGTCATCATGAGCATGTTAGTGTGCTGATGTTAACATTTATCTGCAAGCACTGATGCCTAAGTAGCCTCACAGAGCTGCTGCTAACATGGCTGTAAATTCTCATGTAATTGTCTGTGGTTATTTTGCACTTTCCAGAGGAACCAAAGACTATGTAGAGCTGAAAAAAAAACTGATTAAATGTTTGGTCAAGTGACGTAGAATAATTTGGCAACTGTTTTCACATACAATTAACTGATTCAGTAATTTTTCAAGCAAAAATACCAAACCTTCACTGGTTTTAACTTCTCAAATATGAGGATGTTATACTTTTATTATCTTATGTGATAGAATGTATGCTGCATATGTAATTTGTAAATTGAAAAAACTGATGGACAAACAAAACATGCAGTAGTCATTTTAGTAGGCATTTTATATAGACAATGATTTCAGGGTGGTTAGCACTGCTGCCACAAGAAGAATGTGCCGGGTTCGAGTCCCCCCTGAGTTTGCATGTTGTCCCTGTGCCTGTGTGGGTTCTCTCTGGGTACTCCGGCTTCCTTCCACAGACCAAAGACATGCAGCTTAGTGGAGACTCTAAATTGCCCGTAGGAGTGAGTGTGTGTGTGGTTGTTTGTCTACATGTCAGCCCTGTGGTAGACTGGTGACCTATCCAGGGTGGACCCTGCCTCTTGCCCAATGTAAGCATGTGTATTCATTGCTTTTCTTTTTGTGCCATATAGTACTGCATGACATTATAAAATTTAAGAACAGCTGCTTTAACCCTTGTGTACTACATTTTCTGCATTACCCTTTCTGTGTTCAGACAGCTCCCGATGGATGGAAGAACTCTGTGCGTCACAACCTCTCCCTGAACAAATGCTTTGAGAAAGTGGAGAATAAAAATGGGAACTCATCCCGTAAAGGCTGTCTGTGGGCTCTCAATCCAGCCAAGGTGGAGAAGATGCAGGAGGAGCTGCATAAGTGGCGTCGTAAAGACCCCATCACTGTTCGCAGGAGCATGGCGAGGCCGGGTGGGTCCCTTAAAAGTCCCAAATGACATCAGAACCACCACTAAAGGAACTAATACTAAAGAAGTGAACTGGAAAATAAGATTTTACAATGACTTCAGTATATTAGAAGATCAAAAGCTCAAAGATATATTGTATAGATGTTTGACATTTAATCAGTTTTTGGCTGAACTATACTTTAAGTTAACCAGAATTGAATTGAGTAATTTTAGCACATCATATTTGAAACACATTTTTCTTACAGAAGACCTTGATCGTCTATTGGGAGAGAGACCTGCCAAGCTTAGGTCTTTGCCACCTTACCCCAACCCATCTCTCTTATCCAGAGTGGCCCCCATCTATGGCACCTCCTCGTCATCTTGCACCCCAAGCCAGCTTCGACCACCCTTTCTACCTATTCGGCGCCCACATTATGCTCATATTCACTCTCACCAGTCCAGCACCATTCCCCCTTCTGTTGCTCATCCCAGCAACTCCTTTGCCCTATACTCACTCCGTGGACAGCAGCCTGCAGCTGGAAGCCAGAACTCACCAATGGCTGGGAACGTGCCTCCTGTTTACAATGCTGCGCTGCAGGTGGAGTACAGTGCTGGCCCCAGGAGCATGCAGGACTTACTGTTGGAGGGAGATGGCAGTTATGACATTGACATGCTCAACCCCAGTCTGACTGACCTGCAGCTGCAAGGTATGGCAGAGGAAACCAGACAACCACATGAGCTTTCCCTGTGGTGATCTAATGAGGAGTCAGATTGTATCTTCAAAATGTTCAACTTTGTTCAGCTTCTGAAAATATTCACTTTAGATATCTGACATGTCAGCATGGATGATATTATTAGGGAATATTAGTTTACAAGATAGCTCACATATACATATAATGTGTATGGTGTCCAACTTTCCAGCTGTAAAGTTAGTACATAGTTCATAATTGTTTAAGAACAAAATATATTCTAAAAAAGTTTATATTATGTGTTCATATTCATTACATTAAAATAATAGCTGATATACCTATCATTATTTTTTTTCTGTGATTTTTACGAAAGTATAAAATATTGTGGAGAAATTTTAGTATATACCATTAATATTGAAGAGAAAATGTTTTATTTTGCTTCAGATTGTGCAAGGAACTCATTCCCCACCCTATTTTATAAGAAAAAAGACATTGCATAAGGGAATCTGTTTGCAACATGAAGTGACAGAAATGCATGAAAGTGAAATGATGGGTAATGCATTTTTTAAGACCTCAGCATTATACTGTTTACTGGTACAAAACATGACTGAACTTCCCCCCTTTGTTTTTAGGTAACTTGTGGGAGGAATTAAGGGAAGACAGTTTGGTGTTCGATCCTCAAATTACCACCACAGATCCATCCACTTCCTCTGCCCTGCAGGGTTCCCACATCCAGAGCAGCTGTTTGCCGGAGGCGCCCCCTGCCGGTGAGACATCAGAGGTGACTGCTGTCGGTCGATGTAAAGCGCAGTATGAGGATAAGGACACAGGCAGTGGACGAAGCGTAGAGCAGCGTGGCTGTATGAATGGACTGCACCCAGTGGTTTATTCAGGGGTGGAGAGTCTTGCTACATATCTGACCTCCTGTACCACATCCATCTCTTTAATGTAAAGACCTGACTGTTGATCACCCCACCTGACCAGTAATGCCCTCTGTTAAACTGAACTGGGAATATTGTAACAAGCAGCTTTATTCCACAGTATTAGTTTGGTGGTTGTCAAATCCTGATTACCACTGTGTGACAGACTGTGGAGGACCTAACTGTCGCCAACAAGTTTAGCAGGTAGGAAATAAGAGTGCTTGTCTTTTTTGTCCATTTCAGTACACATTTCTTTGTCCTAAGTTTTTTATTTGCAAGAGCTCCTGTCACATGCCATTGTAAATTAGCAAGTGATAATAGGTTTGATAAATGGAAAAGTTTTAAAAAATCCTTTTAAAAAAAGTTTATTATTACATTTATGTGAATTAATCTATTTATTGACTTTTTACAAACTGTATTTCACATCATTGTGGTATGAATTAATGTATTTTTCAGTAAAAGATCTCAGTTGTTTTAGCTGGTCATTTGTAAATCACTGGTCCTGTCCAATTAAATATGGATCAATTGTCTATAAGCTGACCACTCTACTGATGCATTAATATATTTGTGCATTCTTGTCATTTATTTTTATCAGCAGCTTAAAAGTGTGTTAGGCAATCTTAAAGGTTATGGCTAGAAAATGGCATTGCTAGTCATGGGGCCCAGCAGGTTTATGATAGCATGGCCTGATACTTAACCCCAGCAAATTATCACTTGAATCTGCAGCTCCAAAGGACTTTATGAAACTTTATAGTGAGTTTCATCTTATTGTTTAGCTGTCCGCCCTACAACTTTGTTTCAGTTCACTTTTGCTGGTCTCATGGCATCATTGTCAGCTACAGCAGCCACATTTTCAGCTGGTGAACATAGTAACATAGTGAAGCAGTTGGCAGGCTAGCAGCTGGGAATTGGGTTAGAGAAGTAAGCTTGTCACCGGTTCAATCCCCAGGCTGGCAGGATTAAGTCTGGGTGGGGTAGGTGACAAAACAACGCTTGCCTCACCCCCCCTTAACACCACTATGCCCTTTAGCAAGGCCCTTAACTCCAACTGCTCCAGTGGCAAATGAATGTGGAATGTGTGTGAATGTGAACAGGGTGTCTCTGTTCTTGAATGTGAACCTTGTTCCTGAAAAAGACAAGGTGGCCTCTCAGTGGACCTTTCCTTGAACCAATAAATGTAATAAATAAATAACTTTAATAAAGTATATCTGTTTACTAAAGAGGTTGCCATACTGGAGACAAATTCCTTATGTGTGTAACATGCTTGGCCAATAAAAGTAATCATCAAGTTTTAAAGTGTAATGTAATGTGTCAGTGTGTTCATCACTGATTCAATTGGCCAAGAAAATCAGGTACTGCAGATTTCAATACCATATACCATATCATCCATATAATATTAATATTTCTATTAAAAACAAGTCTGATAGATAATATAATGTATAATCTACCCCACTGTGATTATGGCCTCAGCATAAGAAAAGCTCTGTTTGTTCACACTAAAGATAGGTGGTGTCATGTGACGCCGCACAGAAGATGGCAGCAAAGATACTCCGACTTACAGCTTGAATCATCTGCTGATGTCACTTTTTTTTACCTGCTGTTCCTATTTTATGGTTTCTACAGTACATCAAGTAGCCTGACAGAGAAAATACAGTACACACCATCAACAAACTTTAAAAGACAATGTTTTAAAAGCTTTGGTTACTGAGTTTCTACAACCACTGCTATCTTTGTATTGCTTGTGACTTAATAATAATGACTGTTGTCTGCACAACATGGTTTTTAACTCATATTTTTATATTTCTTCTTCTGTTCTAATGTTTCTTCTTTTGTGAAAAACAACAACAACAACAATGTATACCAAGAGTTTGAAAAAAAAAGTCCCATATTTATTGCCATGATGGAATTTCAGTTGTGAACACTTTACATACTCTTAAATGTTACCTTTAAAACTTTTATCGTAACACAGCGTCCAGTATTACAGACAAAGCACTGGATATCAGAATTGGAATCTGATTTCTGACTAATGTGTGTTTTCTGACACTTCAAAATGGCTATTTATTTAAAAATTAAACACATTCACAGACAAAATACACATCTCTTTCATTCAAATAAACAATCACACATCACAGACTGAATCATTCAGATGTTTGCTACTACAAACTGAAGAAACCTAAGGAGTAAAAATGTCATGAGATTCCTATACAAACTATATATGTAAATATATACATATTTGCGTGGAATAATTATTGTTAAATCTTTCTGGGGCTACGTCATTTTGTCTTTGCCTCATGGTGTGTTTCAGGACAAACAAGACTCAGTCTTCTTTTTGTCTTATTAACGGCTATAAAAACACACGAAATGTACTGTAGCCTAAATTAATTCCTGATGACCAAGTGGAGCCCACGTATACAGACTGAAATCAACAATATGTACAGACACTGCATGTGTTTGCTGCCCACACACTGATACAATCTGACGATAAAGCTGGCAGACTTCCTACAAAGGGAGAAATCTACTGGTCACGCAGCTGACATTAGAGAAACCAGAGTTTAATGCCAGTGATTTGTCCATCAGTTCATCTGTTTCTGGCCCTGAAGTGATACCTGGATCATGGGTAACATCTAAAACGGGGAGGAGTAAAGGGTGGAGGTCCTCCTATGACCCCCCACTGTAGGAATAATCTGCCTTGTTGTGCATCACCAGTTTGTTGTCCACAAAGTAGAAGCTGTCAGACTGCGTCTCGTAAGGGTGCAGGATCATCTCACGCACTGAGAAGAAGCACACAACACTCAGCATTTTGTCACATCACATCGTGTCAGATCTAGAACAAATATATCTGTGTGGGTGTCGGGTTATTATTGTATAGCTTGTATTGTATGCAAAAACTAACATAAAAACTGGAGGAGCGTCATTAATGTAATCTCAGAAAAAAGAGAAGTCTGAGTTAAAAAGAAAAAGTCAGAACTCATAAATTTTGTATAGTGGCCCAAATCCTCTTCCATAGTAGGAAGATGGTTGATAGTCTTTTGTTTGTACGAGTGACTGGTTGGACTTTAGGATGTCAGGAAGAAAACATAAGAACCCTGTGGAACTTTATCCCAATAGAAATCAAAGGGAAAAACCCAACAAATCTTAAACATAAACCTCAAAGTTTATGAAGTATGACCAATGTAGGGAATGAGGCAAGTGGATTGTTACAGAAGTTAATAGACTTTGAGGGACTGGAGCTGGAACTGAATACTACTGGAGATTTTGAAAGTCATTATCACGAACCGGACGAAGACTTTGACCCTGAAATAAATTTTTATAAGAGCAT